CTGAGGTAAATTCCACAGAGAAAGCGCAGGGGATAAATGACAATTTTCCGCACATTTTTCTGGGAAAAATCCTGGGAAAATCTGGGAATTATAATAACTATTATATGATTACAAAGCGTCGGAGTAAATTTTATTATAAATCACTTTCGCTGGTCATCTTTTGGTGGTGATGGCCTAAGAAAATGTGTTATTGGAAGTCACTGTTTGGGGTAATAAAACAGAAGTCCAAAAGGACATGATAAACCCAATAAACACGGGCCCACATATTCCGAAACCTATCGAACACACGATCCTGAGTCCCAATGTACCCTCGTTGGTTGAAATGATCGACGTTCGACTGGTCAAAACCGCCCCATTAAGATTCTAATCTCCATGATCATGATTGCGGATTGGGTCCTATGGGGATATATACGGCTGTTTTTGAGACGCACGCGGGCCCGAGGGCATATTGCAACGTTGTGGGCCAAAACTTCTCCATTTCTTTCTCCTCTCTCCCTCGGACCCTCAACAGCACATCCTTCCGGCTATCCACAGCACAATTTCTCGATGATAAAAAGAGGAGCTGCACTGTGATATCGTGGGAGACGAAGGGGGCCCCATGGAATATTTTCAAACGGGAGTTTTGCACACGCGGTTTCGTGGCGGCGGCCGCATCCCTCATCTCGCCACTCGGATGGTAATTAATTTCATGATAATTACCACGGCGCAGAGAGGTTCAGGCTGGTGATTCTTCTGGGCCCCGTTGTCTCACTCGAATTTACCCTCTGGCCATTGTAATTATTAGTATTAATTGTGGGGATTCGGGAGAAGGGCTAATGCACCAATTAATGTCCCCTACCGTTAAGAAAAAATTCATTGGCAAAGGTAACGACTGTAATTTTTGCCCATCGATAATGACAGATTGTTTATTCTATTTCGTTAATTTTAGGTGATTAATTTAATGGATAAATCCAAGTGGTTATTTTTTAACGTGTTTTTTTTTATTTATTTTTAAGTCTTAAATTACGCAGTTGATTTTTTAATTGGAAATTCATAATTCTGGGGGGAAATATTGCTTGACGAAAATCAATGGTGAATGAAAATAGATCAAGAAATTTATGGTGCAGATTTGAGATTTTTTTGGATCAGTTTTGGAATTTGACAAAGGAAGGATTTGAGTTTTGTAATCCTCAACGGATTTCTCGGTAGAACTTGACCATTCCTGGAGCAATCCACTGGTTTATTGTCCAAATAATGCAGGGGAAGAAGGAATTAACGTAGACCGGGGTTGAGTGATTAGGGTTACGTTGAGTTTTTGTCGATTGGGTGTAGAACCCGGGTGACGTCCCACTGTGGCTTCAACTCCTCGTAAAACTACACAGTTTTGTTGTATCTGTTTTACACTGCAAATGCTTGACACAAACTTACCACCTGGGGGTTAAACTGCTGAGGCCCCTTCGAACAAGTGTAACACAGGGGAGAACCACTAAATATTCAGCATAAATAACTCGAAAATGGGACGAAAGGGAATTTAAATGCATAACTCTTTCTGAGTCGAAAAACTGTCACGATATTAGGTAAAAATTCCTCCGCACTCGGATAAATATTTTCTGAAAAATTTCAGAGCTATTCATGTGAAAGAAAAAATTGTCTGATAGTTTTTATTGAGTTTGTGCAAGGATGTCAACAGTTTTCGTTTCCATCGGGTCGAGTTGTGAGGGTTACTGATAATTTATGCGAAAAATGGGTTTCACTTTTCATTTCATTTCAGGATTTACGAAGGCTCTTGGGACATTTTGAAAGTTATTGGTACGAGGACCTTTTTCTAGACTCCTTGCGGCGCAACAAATTCCCAACCGCAAGAGCAGGTACTATTGTGAATTACCATCGGTGTAATACTCTCTCTGCAAACCTGCAGTCTCAACAGTCCCATGACCGAAATAAAATACTTGAATCTCGTGTATTTTATACGAGAATTTATCCTATCCTATCCCATTTCTTTATCGTAGATAATGAAGCCACTCCCCTCTCTGCGAGATCCCAGATGACCTGTAGGCCTTACGGAAAAAAAATTTTTATATGCATATTTTCTGTGCTTCTCAGTTTTATTATCGTCTACTAGGTAACTATATCTAGAATCAACCATTAATTGATGGGAAACTTGAATTTCGAGAATAACTCACTTTCCTCCCCTAAAAATCCTAGATGTGGGCCTCTGGGGGTGAAATTATAAATTTGTTTGAATCTCAGTTCATAATTATCTTCAAATTTTGCTCATATTAAATCAGTTTATAGCTGTCTGAAGAATTTCTTGATTTCGAAAAATTCGGCGAGAAATCCTTTTTTTCTGCGGCTGAAATTGGTCATTTCTACTGACACCCGTAAATTCCCTTGGGAGTTGTCACTGAGGTTAAGACATTTTATCCACCGTTAAAAGTCCTGCAAATAAATGGCGATCGCGTATTGCCGATAAAACCTCTTCTCAGACGACAATGTCGTCTCGTGTCTGACCGAACGCCTGTCCATTTCAGAATCGCGACGAATCGTTTGCCGTCACGATCATGACTCCTCCATTGGCTCTTCGCCCCACCCCCGTAGGAAAGAATAACGAAAAAGATAAACAAGTTGGAGACACAAAAGAGAGACAACTGGAACAATGGTAAAATGAAACAGAGAGAAATACACCGAGAAATCCAACGAGACAATTCCCCAGGGACTACCTGCTTCAAAGTCGGTTTGTTCTTTTGTCTTTGAGAAGTGCCATCCGATTTATTGCCACATACCGGTAGTCGGCATTCTCTTTGGCCCCCAAAAATGCGTCTTCAACCCCATATATAGCACTGTGAATGCAATCGAAAACAAGAGGTGAATAAAATCGAAGGGAATAATATACAAATGAAGGGAAACAAAGTGCTTACGAATTCCCGCCGATTGTTGCGTTGGCACTCGGTATTTTTTGAGTTCTCTCCAGCTACTGAGAGACCAAATCATGAATATTCCCCCTAAGTCCCATTTTCACAAACCTAATTTAATCCCTCAAAACATGAATAAGCTAGAGTTTTGCGAATCACGAATTATATTTTCCTCAAACCTCAAGTCTAGATGATTGATGCTAAACTGATTGATGTGACCTTTGAACGTTCCATTGAATACGTTTTCAATTTAATTTCAATACCAATAAATTAAATAAATAACCGTCGTCAACACATCACCTCCAGATTTCCCAAAACAATATCCTGAAAAAAAAAATGAAGGAAAAAAATCTCATTGAAGTTAAAACAAACATTGAATTCAGTACAAAAGTAAAAAAAAAAAAATTGAGGAGTCAGCGGTTACTTTCGCTGTGACAGCCTACGCAATGAGGGGACTCGTTTTTTTTTTCTTATTTTTCATGATGCGGAGAAGGGAAGAGGGCATACCTGTTGGCCGTGTCTCATGCACATGTGATGGTGTTGGCCAAAGTCGTTCGGCAGCCGGTACACCAATACACATTCGAAATATAGTGATGTGTAAAAAAACGAAACGAGTGGATGGAATGGGGCGCGAGCCGAGAGTATATATCGGAGATGCGCGCACGGACGCACGCGGTGTGCGCCCCGAGGCCGAATAAAATGGTGGGGGATTGCGGCCTGTGGTACGGCGCGCGCCACGGCCCAGGGAAGGGAGAACGGCTCGCGTCTCAGCTTCCCCCTTCCTATGCGTTCCATCATGGCCCTCAGGCATCATCCCCACACCACTGCACCCAAAAATTTACTTCAATCCACTGCATTTCATACTTTGCTGGATTATCACGTCAAATTCATGTCCAAATCAAACGGGCCCATTTTGTCCGACTTCGGGACTAGGCCGTAACAAACTTTCCTAGCGATTATGCATTGGTACGATTCGAACGAGCCGAAGAAGAGTTCTGTAATCATATTAGGTGCAATTAATCATTGTCCCTTAGGAATTTATGCAAAAGTTGCAGTAGAGCAGCAGAACATGAAATAACTCGTGAAAATGAAGGGTATCGGTTAAATCGGCGAAGGATACTGTTCGTAAAAATCGCCTGAGTATTAAGAGATTCATAATCTGTATTTAACAGTGTTCCCTCGAGAATTTTCAAAAATTATCTCCGTCTTCGTCTGCGGGTTAGCTCCAGGCAAAGCTGACGAGCTTCTACCAACACTCTGGTTTCTTCTACATGTTCTATCTTTGTTTATGGGTACCTCTTGAAATTTCATTCCTTGGCTGCCGGTGGGGATGATGTGCACTCTACGCACCAGGGTGCAGTGTCTCTCACACCAGATAAAATTGTTTACGTGCAAAGTATTTTTCGTTGAATAGATGAAATAAACGACCATTGAGAAAACTGATTTTATTTTATTGGAGCTGCAAAAAACTCTTTCAAGAACTCATTGAATTAATTCTCCATTGATATTCCTTCGATTACTACAACGAAAAATTCCGAGCTATCCGCCCAATTGATTAATATCAACAAATTTCAATATTTCTATCAATACCAGATTTCATTAAAAATGAATTGCAGATTATAATCTTGAAAATGGCTCGGCGCTCAAAGCCCTTTAATACCAATAACTTGTCTGAGAAATGATTGTGCTCAAAGAAAGCAACGACGGAATAAAAAAAAAGAGTCTGAAAATTTTCTTAAAAAGATGAGAATCTCGGTTCCTCTCATAGGGCCTCTGGGGCTTCCATCTCCAACCGGAGCCCGCAAGAAGAGTGAGAAAGAGCGAGAAGAGGTATGTGCCGTAGGAGGAGCAAAGAAAAGAGGAATACAGTACAGAGAAACGATATAGATGGAAGAGGGGGATGTGCCACAGGGTTTTTATCCTCTCTCTGTTCAGCCCGAGTGAAAAGGTATACGTACTTTACGGAGGGATGGAGGGGGCTATACCGGAGGGTTTAGGGCCCCGATGGAGTATGGGACCCCATGGTGGGGATGCGGCGCGTGCCCGTCCGGCTTATATAAGGCCCCGTACCCTCCTCAGCAAGGCATTTCGGGAGCCACAACCGTACAGTGAGCATCGAGGGTGAATAAACCACCGGTTTTGGTTCCTCAATATTATTTTAAAATCAAAACAAACGCGATCTATTGAGTTATCCCTGAATCGTATAAGTTTTAACGTGACTCGTACTATCATTATCGCAATCCACCAACGATATACGGTAAAATCGATAAAAATTGTCAGGTGTGAATGAAACCGAGCTTTCGATTTCAGTAAATCATCATTGAATATCGCGTGTATCGAGATACTGATCGTTTGCAAGAGTAGATAACTGTGTGATGACCTTAGTGGGAACAAACGACGAGAATTCATTACCAATGATGTTGGGCGTACAGCAGCATCACCACCACAGTGGTTTACATACAAACAACATCAACAACAATGGTAGCATCAATGTACAGAGGGGCAATGTGATTGTCTCGACTGGTGGTGTTACGAGTAATGATCTTAAAATGCAGAACTGCAAGAGGAGCAAAATGTACCAGACAACGCCGTATGGAACAGTGCCACATCAGCCAGCTTCAGTAGCAAGGAGAAATGCCCGTGAGAGGAACAGAGTTAAACAAGTTAACAATGGATTTGCCACTCTTCGTCAGCATATTCCCCAGAGTGTGGCACAAGCACTTGGTGGTAATACAGCTGGTACACACGGTGGATCAAGAGCTGGTTCTAAAAAATTGTCAAAGGTTGAGACCCTGAAGATGGCTGTTGAGTACATCAGGAGTCTTCAGCGCTTGTTGGACGACGAGAGCTCAGAGACAAGCAGTGCACCATCGACATCACCATCACCCCTGTCATCCACCTGTGGATCAACATCGAGAATTGATATGCACACCAGCGAATTACACTCACCACATGTTACGGATATACATCGACAGCATCTTAGGCAGAATCCAAGCCCGTCGTCCTTCGTACCACCGCCTTGCTCCGAGGCATCCAGTTCACCGACCCCGAGCTTCATCTCCGAAACATCCTCCGGTGGCAGTCAGGGATATGGCAGTGCATCGACAGCATTATACACACCACATCCTGATAGCTACGACAATTACGATCCAATGAGTCCCGAGGATGAAGAGTTACTTGATGTCATCACCTGGTGGCAGCAGAGCCAATGAGCACTGAATAACTACGTTCCACCGATAATCCCTGCTGATTCTTCAGGTTTGTAGCTTTATTTTTTTTTTTATCACATTTTACCCCATCCTCGGCTATTTCACCCAAAATCTTCCGATGGATTTCCTCAAACTCGAATAATACCGCAAATCGAGAGTTGTCCCCCGTGTTTTGTGCGTAAGAAGCTTGAAAGAAATTTCTTTAGCCAGAATTTGTGACCTTGGCGTAGCTCACAATGGATTCAGTGAGGGACCCCTCGTTGAAAAATATCCCCACCGGGGCTCCTCCATGCCATTCAAATCGCAGACTCCATTCACTATTAAAACCTCACCTCCTCTCCTTCTCGCGATTGAACCCTCGGGATTTTTTGCTTTTGTTGGACATTTCTTTCATTTACCAACTAGAGGCGCTCATTTCTTCATCGTCACGATTTGTTTATTATTTCTCATCAAACGAAAAAATTAATTCAACCCTATTTTTATGGTAATGTGAGTAATCATTCCTAAAACTCGATCATGAGTTTATTTTGGCGCGGTCGCTGATTCTCGGGAATTTACCAGTCAATTGATTAAGTTTATTATTGAATCAGTCGTACTTTCGTTGCAAGTATCCCTGCAGTGAATCTCGACACACATCGGCGAGAAAAAAAAAAGATAAAAATAAAAATTCCGAGGACAATTTCGTCTCACGCGGTGCGTTTAACCTGAATGCGTCTTTCAGGATATACCAGTCGTCCCCTCCCTTCTTTGTCGGTTTTTGAACCGGTATACACAATTCCCTCTTCTCTTTTTACCTCGCCCCCTCCCCTCCCGCCGAAAAACCCGCCCTTACCTGAGAAATCATCCCCTCGTGGTATTTTTTCATTCCATTCCCTTTTTTTTATTTTCCATCTCTCTTCACATTCATACCTGTAAGAGCTGATATACGAGGCATTGAACCCCGGTAAAACGCGTTTCACCGAATCTTCAGTGAATTAAATCCATCCGTAGATGAATAATGGGACATTTCTTAGCCCCCTGAAATTTGGCCATCACGTACAAGCGTGATCATCTTGATCAATAGATGTATTAACCTTTTCCGTTACTTTTTGTATGATTACAGAATTATTCATTGGACTGAGGGAAAAAATTCAGGTGGACGTTAAACAAAATTCACTCGGGCTGTTCCATCAACTGTGATCTAGTCATGTACACTCTGTACAAACCTCTATGTGCTTAACAAGAAGGAAAAAAAATGAAGAATGGAGAGAATGTGAGGAGCTGGGATGCCCCGCTGAGGAGATACCTTCCAACATTAACCAACTTTTTCGTTACTCGTTGAAACACTGAGTTTACGAGTTGTCGACTATTTTTCCGCACAAGAATATTTTTTAATGAATTTTTAAAGAGACTATGTACATACATTTTTTTCGATTATAAATATTGTATATTACGTTAATGTTAAGATATTTTACGAAATTTAAGATGTACGATAGAGCAGAGAGATAGAGCGAATGAACGAGTAGAATTATATCCATTCATGACTTTGCCTTAGGCAATAAAAAATATGTAAATTATCAACTCGAAATTCCAATTCGCTCAATTATTTATGGATGAATCGGTTATCTTAGTGAATCTGTTTGTCAATTCATCATAGAAAATTTTTCGTCATCAATTCGACTGAAATGCCAGTGCCTTATACTTGATTCTGTAATTTTATCGGCTGATAAACTCGTTAAATATATGAAATAATTTTATCGAAGTATAAAAAATTATCGTTGGAATATTTAAAACCTTGAAACTTTTGGTCCTGTGGTTCTATTGTCAACGAGATTTTCTCGGAGACATGATTCTCAACGGTTGAGAACTTTTGTGCGAAAATCACTGGTGTATCCTTGGATCCTTGGGGAGGAGCACCATCGAGGAGATTGACGCTGTTTCCTTTGAGGTGTGTCAGGTAAACGCCAAGAGTCAAGTGCCTACACCCAGGCTAGTTTGAGTGACAAAATTGGGAAAATTTACCAGGGAAATACGACCGTCTTCTTGCAAATGAACCGTATAACTTTGGGTGCTACAGGTGCAATTAAAATTACACTTGGAGGTGGGTAAAGTGCATGGTTTATTACACTGGACGTTGGGTGGAGACGGCAAAATGGGACAAGTGGGTGTTTGAAGGATCCACTTTAATTGCTGGGTGGACAGTTGTAATTTCTGGTCTTAACTTTTTTTTCTCTCAAGCCTCAAATAAAACAATTCCAGAGGGATCGTCTCTGTGACCCAGACGTATGAAACAAATTCTTTTCTCTGGGTATAAAAATTTAATTAACAATACTCCACAGGAATTTATGATTTTTACTGCTTTACAGGCAATACGATTAATGAAAGTTCGAAATATGAAGTCCCATTTTTTTTCAGACGATCGGGGTATGTGGGATTTGGATGGAATTGTTATTGGAGTTGTTAGAATAAATCATTTTTTTTCCAAAGGTATTTTTTTTTCAGATACCTTTCACCCGTGGAAATACATATTTGACTGAGTTATGTATAAATCAATACTTGTATTTACTCATGCAAAACGCTCTTCGTCGCATGCAAATATCCGCATAAATTTCGGAGGAATACAGGGGCAATTAATATGACGGGAGGGTGGGGTAAAATAGTGGATTTATTGCGATGACCAGAGAGGAGAGCAGAGCAGAACGGGAAAATATGATATCCGATACGCTTTACTTGATTACGCGCTGAGTTGATGACCGTAACTCCTAGTAGATCTCCTTGAAGTTTTCGTTGTTACCAGAACTTTATGGGAGAAGTATTCAAATGACTCGACACTCATTGAGCAACAAATAAAGCGATCATTTCACTGGCGAAATCACCAAGGAATTTGTCAGAACACATGTTACGATGGCTGTAAATATCCGGATTCACGTATTCCCGTGATTTGATCGCTTATTTACTCGCGTAAGTTGAATTTCTAACTTTTCATTTACCTCTCTTTAATTAACAAAATTATTAAGCGAGTAAAATAGGATGTTTACAGGCCGAGTGGTTGAAACAACCGATGGAACGTGGAATTTTCATCTAATTGTTACGTGGACTGTTGTAATTTCCACGGTCTCTGGGAATTGGTGAGAAGTTTGCGAGAGTTTACCTCGGTGAGCAATTTATTTATGGACAGGGCCAATGAATGGAAATATTTTCACAAGGATAGTACAAATCTTGGGAAGGGGGAGGGTAAAAACGTACAGGTTGAAATTCTATGTACACCTGACTCGCAGAAAGTCAGGTAAATCTTGGGTAAATGCAACAAAAAGCCCACCAGGTATTTCATACCTTCTTAAAATCCTCTCAATTGTCCTTAAGTTTAACGGTACAACACTGGGCTGTTTTCCATACCCAATGAAAAATCGTAGATTCTGAGAGGAGTGAATGGGGCACTTTACGCTGGGGTGGATCGATAAATTTGGGAAACCCTTGGGTGAATAGATTGTTGAATGTACGAGACATTCGGGGAGACTATCATTGGCTAGGTTCAGGTAGACGATGGGGTTACTAACCTGCTGTAAAAGGGTCATGGTATTGAGGGAATTTTCACCGGTAAATGTACTATACCCTTCATTTGAGTAGACTGTGCAAGCTTTTCATTGATGAATTACTCCAAAGAATCGCTCCGGCAGATATTTTCGCAGGGTGGGGGTAGAGAAATGATCGGCCCGATGACTTGCCAATATTGCGAAAGTCAGAATTACACGGTTGAGAGGTTTTTTCGTCATTTTTCAAATTTTGGAGAAGATACGGGGAGAAATTTGTATTGAAATTTATCACAAAATTGTTGAAAGTCCGGGGGGAAATGTAATAAGTCCCCGAGCAGTTCTGAAAAGTCAATTCACTCCGTGATTTCTAGAGATTATTAACGGTTAGGAATCTCTTCGGCTTGGTAAAATTCCGAATTTCATGAGACTTCTCCTCGAAGTGAATCCACAATCACTGGCTTTCATTTTAACGGCGCAATTTTTTTCGTCAAAGTTCATTTTTCCCGGTTTAGAATAATTTTGTCAACCACACGATTTTGTATTTATTTCACTGTATTCGTTTATCCTCGTTTTATTTTTTTATCTTTCCTGTCGTTAGAGGCCTTTAGAGAGATGTTTTTTCAAAGATACTGATGCTAGTGCCCATTGAGAAATGGACCGGAAGGGACCGGATTTAGATGTCGAAAAATCCAATGAAGAAACGGGGAATCGTTGGCCCATCATCTCCCGCCGATGTTTTCGTCGCGTTGATCTCGTTTGTTCTCCTCGTCGGATTTGTGGTTCCATCACCCCCTTGGGGTTCTTTTTTTCTTCTCCCGAAGAAAGAGTATCGAAAAAAAAAAACTTGTGGAGGCACGTCAGCTCGCGATTACCGTGAATTTCGGCCGGTTATTTACTCAAAAACCACAAGGACATTGACAGGGATAATGGCGAGAAGGGACAGGCGTCCCTCGTCAGTACAGGAACATCGGATCGTTAACGATTTTTTGGCTTCAACGGAGAAATAAGCTGGTGCGGGCATCCCTCAAACGTTTTTCCATGCTCTAAAATTTTCTAAGTCCACTCTATACTTATGTAGTTCCGAGACAATTCTCCGACTATGACCCTAGAATTTTGGAAATTACAAAATTAGGATGGGGCTTTTCCAGGAGTTCTGCAGCTTGATGATGACATTTATTGGGAAATGGATGATGTGAACAATTAACGAAGATAATTAGTCAGTTACACTTGAACGGAACATTTAACAACAGTACCAAAATTTTACGGAGAGAAAGAGTATTTATTATTTTTAGAAATATCACGACTCTGGATTCAGTGGTAATAGGAATTAATGAATTAATTTAATCAAAAACTAGTTTGCCTCGCATAAAACTAAAATATTAACTGAACATTGTAATGAATTCCCTCCCGAAAATCCAGGATAAGGGAGATGAAAGAGAAAGTGCAAGAAAAAGAAGCCGGTGGAATAAGAAAAAGAGATTAAAAAAGTGGGGGATCAAGGAACGCGCCAGCCACGCGCGACCGTTGAAATCTCGGAGCAAGCCATGTCAGTAGCTTCCCCTGCCCCTTCGTCTTCCCCTTTTTTTTTCTTGTTCTCATACCCTTGAGGAATCGCTCCTCCATTCACCCGTTCTAACGTCGATTTTTCACTTTTCTAGATGTCACATTATCCCCTGAAACCCGTCAGAGAGTGCGGACGGTCTCGCAGTACAAACATTGCTTCACTTCTCTTCAGGATTTCAGACGTGAGTAAAATGTCCCACGGACACTTCAATCAAGGTTTTAATTAACTGCAAGTATTTTTCTGAAATTTCCATCGGGCCTGCAATTAATTGATGACTGCATCAAAGAGATTTCCTTTCGCGCCAAATACTGGAAAGCCCATCAAAACTGCTGGTCGTTTTGCCCACCTATCCTCAGTGTTTGATCGTCATGAGATCCCCGCAGACGCGATTCCACCTGAAAACTGGGAGAATACCCCAGAGGAGGACATACATAAGAGGAAAGAGAGAAATACAGAGAAACGCGAAAGAGAAGCGACGTTTTAATGGGAGCCCGGATCCGAGGGAACGAGTCTATAATGTATTCCACAGCATCCACTGCCGCTGCTCTTGATCCTCTCGTTCTTACTTTATTTTCCCCCTCTTCTTCACTATCATTCTTTTTATTTCTTTTCATTTTCATTATTCTCCTTCTTCGAGAGGCAATGAGAATTGCCTTCCAGCTTCTTCTCTGTTTTTCACTTCTAGTCTCTTTTCATTTCTCCGTGGGTCGGCACTTGGTAACTGAAAACGAGGGGGAGATGCTCAAACGAGACTACTTAGGACCATGAGGGATAATTAGAAGCGAATTTCTTCTTTCACTGGTCTCCACCCTTGCCAGAATCCAGACCCCATCGCCGCAATGCACCCGACTTTGTTCCGTTACTTGTCTCTCTTTCTCACTCTTTCCTCTCTCGAGTTTTTTTCAAATCTCCTTTTTTTCTACTTATTATTTTTTTTTTTTTTCAGGGACTCGATACATGAATGGACCGGACGACACCCCGCGTCTCGCTGGCGACTCGCCGCGGTAATTAGCTCGCACAGGTCTCTTAATGAGACGCCCGGCTCAAGGTCAAGTGTCCGCAGAGTCATGCAAATATTATTTGCGGCGCAAGTCCAAGGGTTTTGGCGTGTTGGACGGTTTATGGGGATGGGCATATTGAATTAGTTTTTTAATTGTGTGGTAATTACCGTAAAATTAGCAGATTATGGGGGTTTTTGCGGGGGGCGGTGGTGGTTTCGCGGTTGTGCCGATGGATTGAGACTTTGGAGGTGATTGTGGACATTGATGCTTTATGAGCTGTTTGTTGCAAGGGGATTTATGATTGAAATTGATGCTGATACCTGATCGAGTCAACGGGATTTTCTGGACGCGGAATTTTTCTGGAGGTGGACCAGTATTTTCCCACGATTTTTTCGATCCTGCAGAATTCAGAAGTCCATTAAAAAATCGGTGGACATTTCTACCGAATGTATAGCCGAAATTTCATAACAAATATTTCTGCCGATGAAAATAAAAATAAATACAATCCAATTTACTATTTTATTGAAGGAAGAAGCACCCATTGATTCCAAAATTCCTGAATTGCTGTTTTCTAAAAAGTCATTACTTTGATGGTTTATTCTGTTATTGAGGGTTGAGTGTTTGT